ATTTTTTATTCTAATTTACTAAGACAACTTATAATTGCTGAAATGATGAGACTAAATGGCAAATATAACATGCAGACAATTATGGAAAATGAATCTCTAATAAATAAAATCTTATTTTTAAGAATTGAATAACAAAATTTTTGAATCGAACATTTTATTTTTTTTGCTATTTCATTACTTTTAAATGCTTTCTTCTTACTTACAAAATTATTAGCAAAGTTTCAGGCAGCAGCGGTCGTCCTTATAGTCCAAGTGGCAGTCCCAGTAGTGGTAGTGGTGGTGGCCGTGCTTATCGTACATCATCAGTTTATCTTTGAAAACTTTCATGATCTCTTGGATCATTCCAGTAAAATACAGCAAGAATATATAATGTGATATGATAGTCAATTAACTTCCATTAGATTATATTTAAAATCTAATTTGAACATTTTTTAATTACTGATATGTACTTTCCGTGCAATTTGCAAAATTTGAATTATTAAATTTAAGCCTATATAAGGAGCATACAATTGAAATAAAGGCTAATTTTTAATTTGTATTTATAATTTATACTTAACATCACTTTTTTTTAGTGTAATACATATCCCAGTTAAGCTGCAGTTTTATAGAAATGATTAAAAAATTTGCTGAATATTTTAAATACTTATTAAAATATTTTCAATCAATCAGAAAAATATTATTTTAATACATTGTGTGTGTTTTTAGATTGTATACATTTAACTTTAAATTTAATTGCATTATCAGCATGAAAATTTCGCCAAAATTCTGTTCGATGATAGCAATATCCTTCTTTCATTTGTAGAACATCGGTACCAATACTTAGATAGCTTGCAGGTTTGCGCACCACAGGTAACCATTTGAAACCTTCTGAGAGTGACGTATTGTTAGCACCATTTGGATTTCTAAAAATTACGATAATTTGCTTTTTTTTAAAAAAAAGTGAAACGAGAAAGAATATCATATCTTCCACTGGCAGAATTTATTGATGATTTGCCTGAAATAATACTAACATAATTATATTAAAGATTAACAATATGTCTAAATTATCATTAATATAATCCACTCTCAAAATGGTATCAACATATTTAAATAAAATTTAAAACAAATTAAAAAATGGGAATTATCGCAAACTTTTCTGTATTACAATAAAAACAAACCCAAATTTGGTGAAATTTGTCCATAATTTTGACATTACATCTCTTACATATTCATCGGTTTTAGTACACTTAAATGACAATGGAAATATATTTGTACCAAAAACATAATTTAATTCTGTGCCATGTGTTGCACCTTAATGAAAAAATTAGCTGAAAATAAATTATGCAAAAGAATTTGAACTGTTTCTGTTATTATCAAATATTTCATCTGAGCTGCTACTAACTTTTTTTTCACATGGTTAAAAGCAGAAAAAAAGAAATTAGCTAATTAGTAAACGCAAATTATTTTAACACTTAAAGTAATTAGTTCAGTTCTAACTTTGTCCAATTTTATTTCACTTTTATTTCGCTTAGAGCAAAATAATTTCAAAACAACTCAAATTAGTAATTTTTCTTTTTTCTCATATCAACACGCTTTTCTCTATTTCAGCTAAAAATGTAAGCATTTTTTCTTTCAAAAGCAAGTTGAAATCCAAATGAATATGAACTTGCAAAGATTGGAAAAAATTTTACAAACAGTACTGCATCGGATAAAAATATGTTAATGACTAAACAACGAAGAAATTATTTTCATCTTTGTAATCTGTGAGCAAAATTATTTGTTTCAAAAATAAATAAACAAATTTGTCATTAAACTCTCATTTAGAATTTAGCAAATTCAAAATGCTAATAATGACCAATAGATTAACAGTATTAGCTCATTGTTATTGCACAA